ATCCACCGCCAACTCTTGGACTATTCTCTTACCAACGAATAATGGGATTGACCGTCACTTATAATGCCCCCACGGCTGAAAGGGCGAGCATGTTTGGTGGGACGGGGATTAGAACCTGCGACCCTCAGATTGCGAGTCGAGCACCCTAACCACCTGGCCATGCTGGGCCACTTCAGAATGGAAAGGTTCAACTTAAAGTTAAATTACGTCTAGCATAAAGAGCTGGGTCGTAAGTGGACTTTAATACGTAAGGGTCAGGGGTAAATTTACACGCCTAAGGAGAACTCTCTTTCAGGGGAATATATTTACCCCTAAAATTACCCATGAGCGCTCTCACCACCAAGCCACGCTAGACTAAAGTACAGCTAATAGTCTTCATCTGTGTAACCCTGTAAGTTGTTTTTATGGCATAACATAGGCACATTATGTATTAGCATCATACAAGAATGAAACAAATATGCAATTTTTCGTGCTTCAGTTTGTTAGTAAAACATTTTGTTTTATAATTTTATCATTGAAAAAATCTTTTAACAACAACTACGTTTGGAGAAGATAAATAATCTATAGATTTTATTGTTGTTTTTCTTTCACACTGTTTGTTTGATGTGTGAATGTTTAACACATCCTGGAAAAACTAAGATAATAAATTATTAATATGTTTTTCCATAAACTCTCGTCACAGGTAAGAAGCCACTTGTTCCTATAATGTATACCATTTATTTTCGAAAAAAACAGCTTTACCAGTCACTCCCTATTTATACGTGTGCGCGCGCGTGTGTGTGTATTGTGTTTAATATTTTATACTTCTCACGACAAATACTTTTCAAACATCTGGAAGTAACATTTCATCCCATTCTTTGTTTCCAATATCTGTAAGTATATTACTGAACAGGTGAAATAATGCTGGAAGAAACACTGAATATGTTATAAGAAAGAAGAAACGTATAGAATTTATAGAAAATAAGATTCAAAGGAAGCACTCGTCCTGTAAATAACCACTCTGGGGTTTTGTATTCGTCGAGCAAAGAAATTTAAATTAGAGAAAAGAGCCTCTCTCCGGAATGAAGTCACTACAGATTGAAAAAAATAGTTTAATATACAAAAACACAAAACATCAAATCTCGTTTCACATGTATGTTATGTTACGTATCATAAGTTAAAATAATCTTTGCTTCATGGCTATCAAAAATCAATTGATTTTTGTTACATCTAAAACGTCAACCTTCTATTAATCTAAAAAAAAAAACTGACACATACATAACAAGATGGATAAGGGATTTAGATATGTTATCGTGATCTTCTTAGGGCCTGTGAATCACTGAAAAACTTATATTATTAAAAACAGTAATTTTTTTTTTAGTTTTTAATAAGTGGTGAATTAACTAATGTTAATGTTATCGTAACGATAAGAATTTACTTCATTTAATGCTTGTAATTATTAGTTTTGTTAGAAAACATCTCGTTGCATCTATATGTTGATCATGCTAATCTTTTTACTGAAAAATTTAAATACCAAATACTATGTGTATGTGACACTTACGCGAATGTTTTACTGATTTCAAAGTAAACACCTAAACTTTGGCAGATGCTGTTAACAACAATCCTATTAATGACTATCAAAACACCTCAGTTTTTCTGGTTGTTAAAGAACCATGAATCTTTGTTACTGACGAAGAAAGAATTTCGATCATTTGAATAATATTAGTGTTTAATCACTCTCGAATATCTGTACTATCAGTTTTGGTTTGTCTTTCAGCGAAAGCTCCTGAATAAGCTGTAAAGCGAAACGTTGAGTGTTTAATTACATAAAAACAACATTTTGGCGTTATAAGGTCGTTTATTTCTAGTATTAATGTAACAAAGGATTTTGTTTTACTGTTACTAACGAAGAACTTCAATTCCAGATTATTGCCGAAGGACTAAAGTCCTAATTACTGGCTCTTGTTTTATTGATACTATGCAGGGATAGTCCTTATTTTGAAGTTATTTTAGGAATGTTACTTAAGAGTGCTAATTAAGCATTGTGGATGTACTATGATAGCATTTCTCTTTTCTTTCAGTGTAAACAAAATTCAGATTCGCTAGTATCACCACGAAATCATTTATCGGTTGCATTAAAGAACATTATCATGAGATTAAAATTGAAAACTACTATATGTTTGAAAAAGTAGTGTTAAATAAAACATAGCTGATCAGATCTACTTAACACCATATCTGTCAACTTACGTCACTTCTGCTTTAAACCTGACAATGAATTCGGTAAAAAAAAAAAAAGATAACTGAACTGCTTAAAACCTTTTCTGTCATCTTACGTCACTTCTGCCTTGAAACCTGACAATGAATTCGGTAAAAAAAAGCTAGCTTTTATCACTATTCCTCCGCAGTGTGCTGTGAGGTTTAGTAAAGCAAAAAAAAGATCCTTATTTTACTTTTTCAGAGTATTTGTGTTCATCCAAGGACGGAACATAGGTAGCACTGTTGGGTAATTAGTTCCTTTTTTACGAGGAAGAGTTCCGTCGTTGTTTCGTACTGGATAAGTGGCTATCATGATGGGAAGTTGGAGCTTAATTTCCTTCTCCAGGCCTTTAGGTTTAATGATGAACTAAAAGAACGGATAGAAAAAAGGTAATTGAGTAAATTAAATACTCATTATTCTCACTATTCAATATTTAATACTACTTTTGATACTACACTTCTAAGCACTGAACGGCCAAATGTTATTTTTGTAGAATGAGTACAATAAGAAACAGGTGTTCTTGTTGTACGGTAACTGTTGTAAGATACAACTAAATGTTATTTTTTAAGAATAACTACAGTAAGATAAACCAAATGTTCTTGTGTTTGTTGTACGGTAACTGTTGTAAGATACAACTAAATGTTATTTTTTAAGAATAACTACAGTAAGATAAACCAAATGTTCGTGCTGTACAGTAACTGCTCTAAGATACAGCTAAATGTTATTTTCCTACAGTAGCGATTGTAAGGATTGGCCAAATGTTATTTTTATATAGTAACTAATGTAAGGTTGTTTTATCTGAACTTACGTAATCTTACACTGGTTCTATAGAAATAACTATCCCTGTGGCAACTGTATATCTCAAGCTGTATTTGATACCTTAGCGTTGACATTATACAATCTGACTAATTTCTTTGCCCCAAAGATGCTGCTTACTTAGATAAGAATGTTCTAATATTATATACTTGGAATGTACTACTTGCTCAAAAAGTAAAGTGACAATGCAGACTCATTCCATTACTCGAAGGGTATTACTTAGACAGGAATTTACAAGCTCATTCCATTACTCGAAGGATACTACTTATACAGAAATGTACAAACTCATTCCATTACTCTAAGTATACTACTTATACAGAAATGTACAAACTCATTCCATTACTCAAAGGATACTACTTATACAGAAATGTACAAACTCATTCCATTACTCAAAGGATACTACTTATACAGAAATGTACAAACTCATTACATTACTCTAAGGATACTACTTAGACAGAAATGTACAAACTCATTCCATTACTCTAAAGGATACTACTTAGACAGAAATGTACAAACTCATTACATTACTCTAAGTATACTACTTAGACAGAAATGTACAAACTCATTCCATTACTCTAAGTATACTACTTAGACAGAAATGTACAAACTCATTCCATTACTCGAAGGATACTACTTAGACAGAAATGTACAAACTCATTCCATTACTCAAAGGATACTACTTATACAGAAATGTACAAACTCATTCCATTACTCTAAGTATACTACTTAGACAGAAATGTACAAACTCATTCCATTACTCGAAGGATACTACTTAGACAGAAATGTACAAACTCATTCCATTACTTGAAGGATACTACTTAGACAGAAATGTACAAACTCATTCCATTACTTGAAGGATACTATTTAGGCAAAAATATGATAATAATAATGACTCATTTACAAACAATTTAGAACTTTTAGTGAAACATGTTTTTTGCTTATGCCTGGTACGTCTTATGGTATGTCCAATAAACTTGTAATAATTAGTGACGCTGTTACAACATGGTCAAATATCAATATAACGAATAGTGACGTTGTACTTCTACAGTGTTATCCATATAAAAACTTTTATAAATCTCTACTAGAATGATTTAGTGAGTATTTAAAGGTTTCTTGGATCAAAACATTTTTACTTATTCACTTTTTAAAGCAACGCAGGTTAAAGTTATTTTTAGCATCTTTTGATTCATTCTTGTAACAAAATACGTTCGTGTAAAAACTGTGTATCATCATCATCCCTATCGAACCCTATCGACGATTTTCTTGTAAAATTTTGCAAGATTCGCCACTGTCATCAAAATGTTTTGAATGTTTTATTAAAAATTAAACTCTTTGACCACAAAGATTAAAAACTTTATGTAAAGGAATATTCAAGCACATATTCAAACAGAAGTAAAATAAAAACATTGATATTAACTTACTATAAGAGTAAGCTACGTACTTACAGAGAAACGATCTGAGTAAGCTATGTACTTACAGTGAAACAATCTGAGTAAGCTATGTACTTACAGTGAAACGATCTGAGTAAGCTATGTACTTACAGTGAAACGATCTGAGTAAGCTATGTACTTACAGAGAAACGATCAGAGTAAGCTAGGTTCTTATAGAGAAACGATCAGAGTAAGCTATGTACTTACAGTGAAACGATCTGAGTAAGCTACGTACTTACAGTGAAACGATCTGAGTAAGCTACGTACTTACAGAGAAACGATCAGAGTAAGCTATGTACTTACAGTGAAACGATCTGAGTAAGCTATGTACTTACAGTGAAACGATCTGAGTAAGCTATGTACTTACAGTGAAACGATCTGAGTAAGCTATGTACTTACAGTGAAACGATCTGAGTAAGCTATGTACTTACAGTGAAACTGCAATTCAACCTCGTAACACTAGAGCTAATTAAATAATATACCTTTCTTATGTTTCTACTTATAATTATTAACTTGTACGCGGACATTATTTTAACACTAGGCTCATATACAAGGGAGAAAAGACAAAACCCGTGGTTGCATTTACCTAAATATTGTTATAATAAGAGTAATTATTTGAATATTAAACACGGCTAATATGTGTATTAACACTTTTAATTGAAACACAAAACAAGAAACAACGTTTCGACCTTCTTAGGTCATCGTTAGGTTAAGAATCTTAACCTGAATATGACCTGAGAAGGTCGAAACGTTGTTACTTGTTTTGCGTTTTAAAAAAAAAAGTTTTTAATACCCATATCAGCCGTCTTTACTATATACAGGGTGTCCGAAAATTCTGTAACCATAGACACTTGAACTAATTTTACAGAATGTGTTCCACATGTCGTTCTTCTAATTCGAAATAACTTTGGATTAACAACAGGATTAACTCGACCTTCTCGTGCTTTAACAGCACCATAGTCAGTCACGTATCTGAAACTAAGAAAAGCTGCAAATCACCTGTGGTTCCAGACTATCGGACATCCTGTATTTAACTCAAGCGAATTCCTCGACACCATGAGGCCCGGCATGGCCAGGTGGTTAGGGAGCTGGACTCGCGATCTGCGGGTCGCGGGTTCGAATCCCCGTCACACCAAACATGCTCGTCCTTTCAGCCGTGAGGGCGTTATAACGTAACGGTCAATCCCACTATTCGTTGGTAAAAAAGAGTAGCCCAAGAGTTGGTGGTGGGTGGTGATGATTAGCTGCCTTCCCCCTAGTCTTACACTGCTAAATTAGGGACGGCTAGCGCAGATAGCCCTCGTGTAGCTTTGCGCGAAATTCAAAAAACAAACAAACATCGACATCATGAAGAGTCATTAGTGTTTATGTCATAACGTAATTTAGTAGAAATTCTCTTTTCATACGGTAATACTTTAAAATTTGGCTTCCAACATATTTGATTTCCATTTTTGTTTCGACTAATTCTCTGTATTGAAACTCACCAGAAAAACTTAAACGCAGACAAACTTGCTTATGTTTGAGCCACACTTACATAAACATCGTATTGTACACGAATCAAATGACAACCCCTGAGGTTTGTGGGTGGCAATGGTGGTATACACATCATCTCGTTTCTCCACTGATAAGTTGACCCAGCCTCTACCCGCCCTTTCTGTAAGGAGGCCAGCTCCCTGGTTTCTGTCTCCATCATCTTGCTCTTAGAAGTGTACTGAATCGTCTACCACAAAAAAAAAGAAATAAAAGGGTGCCATGGTTACAGGAAAATAATACCTTGCTTTTAGAAGTGTACTGAATCGTCTATCGACAAAAAAAAAGAAATAAAAGGGTACTATGGTTACAGGAAAATAATACCTTGCTTTTAGAAGTGTACCGAATAGACAGACATAAAACGAAAAGCAAAATATTTTCCTTAGCTACATGCAGAAAATCATATTGTAAACGGCACATGTAAGTAAAGGCTGATAATTCGTATTAAGTATTAAGATATCCAATTAACTGCAGGTAACTTTAGCCTAACTAGCTTACTACCCGCCTGTTGTCAAGGCAGATCCAACCCATATATATATATACACTCGACAGGAATATATTTATTAAAAAAAAAGAACAGAAAAGCAAAGATGTACATATATATATACAAACTAAATCGTTTACAATGAGACTTAAAAAGCAAAAAAACAATTTTGTACATTTACCAGTCTTTGTCATTACCATTAAATCATAATGGAAAATGCCCGTGGTCATAGCTTCCAAAAGAGTTGGGAATAATCCATCTATCAGACATGATCCAAACGCAGATGTTGAACTAGTTATCAGCCACGGAGAATCAGTTAAGGGTTAGGAGTTGAATGCTTAAACCCATAACGTCTCAACTCCTACTGGCCTTCGCTGTTTGTAGCCAGTTGTGGAAAGGCAGTCACCCCTAATCCTTAGACATATAAAATGATGTTAAATTGGGCAATCATCCTAATATTTAGACATATTTAGAACTAAACCATCCTTTTAATACGTAATACTTATTGAAAAGGGTGGAGGTTGGGAGTCTTAAAATTGTGCAAATATAGGGGTGGTTTATTTCTACTACAAGACTCTTGAGGATGACTGCCTTTCCACAATTGGCTGCATACGGTGAAAGGCAGTAGGAGTGTTGATACGTTGCGGGTTTAAGCACTCAATTCCTACCCCCTAATTGATTCTCACTGGCTGCTAACTATTTCTATATCTACGTTTGGATCATATCTGATAGATGGAATATCCCCAATGCTTTTGGAAATTATGACCACAGGCATTTTCCATTATGACTTAACGGTATTGACAAGGATTGGTAATGGAAAAATTTTTGTTGATGTTTTTCTTAAGTCTCAATGTAAACATTTTGTCTCTGACTTGCATTCATTTCATTATTGTTATATAGTACTGATTTGATCGTCTATTTACAATTAATGTAATGTATAGTACTAGAATTATTGATTAATTGATATAAATATTTATATATATATTCTACTGAAATCACAATGAAAGATGATAAATGTATGATCTTGAAAGTTGATTAAACTTATTTCCACTTCACGTTCCAGTTGTGTTAAGATTTTGATTTTCAGCACCTTTTTTAAAAGCTTTTAAATTTAAATGATCAAAAAATGTCATGCTATAACTAAAAAAAAACATACCATCATTTCTTGACTTAATATAAAACAAATGTATTTGAAAAAGGGATAACAAGCATATCTGCTATAAAATACAACAATAATACTAGTTTTGTTTTGTTTTGGAATTAAGCACAAAGCTACACAATGGGTTTTCTGTGCTCTGCCCACCACGGGTATCGAAACCCGGTTTCTAGCGTTGTAAATCCGCAGAAATACCGCTGTGACACTGGGGGGGGGGCATAATACTAGTTAATATAAAGTTGTTACATAGCAATAACTCATGCATGAAACTTTACAGAATGTCAAAAAACAAATTTATTTTTTCAACAAGATATGCAAGTTTATAATTCATAACAAGCAAATATTTTTAAATAAGAAAACGTGGACAGATGCAGAACGTTTAGATAAGATGGTAGATCATAAGGTCCAAGGTTCGAGTCGCGAATATTCTGCTGAACACACTCTAAGCATTCAGCTATGAGATTTTAACCGTGATAACCAATCTCGCTGTTCGGTTACAGTAGTTGTGTAGGTAATATATTACTTCGGTTTGGTTGATAGTTCCAAATTGAGGACGACAATGAACGAACCTTGGCATCATTGACCTCCTAGCCGTTCAGCCCATTGTCACATAGCGTGCTATTCAGGTTGAAAACAATAAATATAAAGTCCAGGAACTATATAAACTAGGTATATAAAAAAAAGGTAACTTTTTGAATAAAATAAACTTGCTCTTTTCTTTACGCTTAAAAAACATTACCTCAGTTAACACAGCTCTAGTTTTTTTAATCGGGACCTTGCTGTTGTTTTCTATCCAGGCATAAATACATATGCACTCTCCGGGTACGTAGCCCCCACGGTCTAGTCGGATCCTGCAGCTGACAGGACCAGCTGACAAACAGGGTATACCAATTGTATCTTCAATCTCACAGAGAAATGGTTTCTATGGACAAAAAAAAAAAAAGATATAAACGTATTTTTTTTCGAAATCTTTAAAGAAACAGCAAATGAAACTACTTTAGGTTTATTTTAAATGCCCAGAGATATCTTCTTTCTTTTTTCCTGTAAACTCCCAGTTACTTGTAGCAGGTTGGTTTTTACGGGGTGGAGCTGCTAGCCCCGCGCCCAACCCTCCCCCTTTCTCATCCTGGACTTGGGACCAAGCAAAGGCGGACGTTGGCATGTTTGGTGTGACGGGGATTCGAACCCGCGACCCTCAGAGTACGAGTCGAGCGCCCTAACCACCTGGCCATGCCGGGCCCGCCCAGTGATATACTAAGCCTAAAAGGAGAAACTAACTTCCTGCCTAAACACAAGTTACTTCATTTTGATATCAAAAATGAAAGAACACTTAGTTATAACTACCTTAGTAAAAGAATAAGCCACTACTTAGAGCATCTTTGAATTCAATTAAAAGTAAATGTATAATAATATTTTGTTTGTAGAAACCTACCAATGTTTTGGAACATAAATCTTTCGAACTTAATCCTTCCAATCTATAATCTGTTCTGCAGTTACTAATATGTAAAAACAGCAAAATGTGAGCGGTTCTAGTCATTACAACCTAGCATACTGAGTATTTTGCTATCAATATCTAATATCGACTAACACTTTTTAGTAAAGTTTTAATAATGTCAATATAGTTAAGTTTTTTATGTGATCAATTTGAATAATATAAAATTTAATTGCATTGTATTAAATAAAACGCATTTCAAATAAAATTTACCTACACTTTGCAATTTGGCGAGATCGTTAATGGTTGTTTGTCTTATGGAAGACAACTAACTTATGTGTAGTCATCTATCTTCTAATGAGAAAATAAGTCTGTTCGGATTTTCAAATAAAAGTCTTATTACAACCAAGATTAATATCCAACAGTTGTAACGAACAATTACAATCGATAATAATTATATGCTAATAGACCTACACATTACAGGCAGAAGGCTTATAGTAAATAATATTTCATTGCTGAAGTATTAGACAATTAATAACAACGTCGCGGAATAGGGCAAGAGTTGTATAAACCTGGAACTTATCCAGATGCCGCCACATGTCTTACTCGGATGTTAAAAAGTGCGACTTTTTCTCTGTCAAGTTAAAAATAATATATAAAATATTACTAAGCTAGCCATGGTTACTATTAGTAAAGAAACAGATAAATTAACTTTGGAGATACGTGTTTTGCGGGAGCTACCATGACTTGGAGGTACATAAAAATCAAAATTATTATATATAATTTAAAATAGCGATATATCTATTAGTGAAGTCTAATTTCAGTTTTCATTTTGGGTTTTCTTGATGTCTGAAGGTATAGCATTATGTCGTAAATATTTTTTATTTTTTTTCAAAAAGAGAAGAAAATAACATTCACTGTCGCTAGGTTACTGGAGCCTTAACAAAACAAAAGTAAAGTAAAGAGAAAATTACATTGTTTCTGTTTGTTCGATCTTTTACTCTTTTTTTTTTCGAGCTTTATAAATCAAAATGCCTACTGCCTTGATGTTATTAAATTTCTGTGCTTTTTCTGAAGGATAATATCTTGATCAGTTGACAGATGGAGCCACACGTGGCTACTCTATCAAATGATTGTTTCTGAAATCTATTTAAATAATGGAAAGATTAAAGAAGACACGTACGGTTACTCTGTCAGTTATTTCTAAAATTTATATTTTTGAAATTATTCTCTAAAGCCAACCAGCCGTAATGCAAAGAAGAGAGAAAGTGTTCATAGCCTCGCAAAAATTCTTTATAGATTGAAAACAGGTTTTCAAAGTTAAACTGATAACCTTACAATATAACGGTTGCATTGTATCTGGTCGTGATGATTTGTGGTGAATTATTTAAGAGTAGAAGAGAAGGCTATCAAAAGCTAAACCAGGTAACGATACTATATAAAAATTTATAAATATAAAAATCGTTACAACACCTCCTCCTTCTTGGATGATATTTGAATAGAGCCTTTCAAGTAGCCTAGCCAATAAGAAATATTTGTACATGAAACATTGATATATGTACATAGTCTCTACTGAGAACAGACTACGATGTGGAAAAGGTAAAGTGTACCCTAGTAAAAGAGGTATCTGTATAAATAGTAGTCTCACAGTGGTAGGGCTAAACCGACGACACGCCTTTATTTCTAAATGAGTTTGAAATAATAAAAAATAGTAGTTTCTTAATTGAAAAAAAACAGATTGAGTGCTCGAGCCAATAAATTTCGACATCTTAAACTACCATTCACAGTCTGCAGCTAGTTGTGTGAAGTTAGTTACTCCTAATGAAACACAAGAAGGGATTTGATAAGTGAAATTAAAACATAAATACATAAAACAGGTTATTACAATAATCAGAGTGAAAAGATAAACTTATCTCCTAAAGCTGCCATTTTTTTGAACAGCAGCGTGATAAAACCCAAGGTTCTAGTTCAATAATTACCAGTATTAGACAAAATAAAAATAAACTTACCCACCGAATTAAAAACAAAAGTAGTAATATAAAAAAACTCTACCTTCTCTATAATCAATACGTTGTTAAAGTAAGCACTCAGTTTCACGAATGAACTAGGCTAAACACGTATGGTAACTGACACCCATGTGCTAATTACTAAAGATAACCCTAAGCCACACAGAGATGGTAACCAATATTAATAAAACGATTTTTTTTGATAATTTATTATTTGAGTAAAAGGAGAGAATATTTTTACCATTAAATATTTCTAAAATTTAATAGATAATTATTACTGAAACAATTAAGCTTAAGTCATAATTAAAACAACAGAAAGAAAATATTCCAGGTTAATCTAGTAACTGAAAAACTGTAACATTTTTGCTTACATTGGAGGAGGTAAGTAAAAGTTATTTCTTCAAATACGACTTCCAGTGTGCATAATGCTCACACATCTGCACGAAAAACAAAATGTACGGAGGGCAGGTTAATACGTACTGCGTAATGTAAAACGTACGGTGGACAGGTTAATACGTACTG